AACCAGAGAGAGAAAGCTTCAAGGTGTAGACACAGAACTATCTTTAACAGCTGTATTCAAACAATGAAATATAATTTAAATGCATTCAACTAAATATGGTTTTATAAAAAAAAGATGAAAAATATAATTGAGTATGAGTATTTTATGGAAGTCATTGAGTTTTATTGTGATAAAATTGTGTATAACAAATCCTCACTAATTTATCGATGTGGTGATTACTAGGAAATCAAGGGTAAATATTAATAATAATAATTTCACTCTAGAATAAGCAGGGATTAGGTGAACTTAGGAAATCTGCATAGTAAAGTTCAAGTGAGTGCTTTGAAGCAGAACATCTTCTGTGACCTTTTCTCCCTAAGATGTACAAGAAGAAAGGTTTTAGATATGAGATGCAGGTAAGCATTAGTCCAGCTGAAACACATCCATTACAGCTGCAAAAAGGGTGCTTGAAGTGTGTTACAACTACATTGGTTGACAACTAAATCTCTGGCCCTGGTCCTCAGTTGTTTTGGTTAAATCACTTTTTTTTGGGGCAGAGGGTCCTTAAAGTAAGATAGTTATCTCAAGTTAAGTTTATCTTATAATTTGGGTGGTTATTTGTTTTAAGGTGTGCACAACATTCCATCTCTTTGTATCAATGAAAACCTCAATCTTCTCTGATTGAAGAGATAAGGGGAAATTGGTTTTAGATCGACAAAGCCAGAATAACATTTCAGGTCTTTTACTTGCACCTACTTTTTCCATGTGTCCATTATGTACGACAGGAGACAGTAGTTTAGTTGAAAAGTTTTTTATTCAAGCTTAGGCTGGAAAGTAGAGTACATGGCGTGTACAGCAGGAAATCCAATGCAGGTCTCACTGGAAAACAGGCAACAGAGATGAGTATTGAGTTCCAACTGATGATAAGATAACCAGAGATGGCGGACATTGCTGGGCTTGGAAATAGTCTGATGGGGTGGGGGTAATAGTATCCATAGAGACAGAGTGAGATCAGAGGAGGAGGCGAGTCATCGGTGGAGTGATCAAGTTTTCTTTGTTTTCAGCAGTACATTGGAGTTTGAACAGGCAGGTGTGTTTGTTTCTTGAGGATCCAGAAAGGAGGGCTTTGGTAGGAGCTGACAGGGTCGCCAAGTGAGGACCAAGCAGACACCAGGGGAGGTGTAACCGGGGACCAACCTTCAGCAGAAGGTAGTGATGAGCCATCTGAAGCTATGCTCAGAGGCGTGTACCGAGTGAAAAGGGGGCTTGTCTACTGAAGCCCTGAAGTTGAAGTTTTTAGCTTTCATATACAGTAGTGCAGACTGTTGTTTTTTGATGTGCATATTATAAGAATTAAGGGGGAACTTTCTAGAATGGTCCCAGTTTGCACAACCATTTCAGTCCAGGTTAGATTCTTTTAATTATTTTTATACATTACTGGAATAAAGTCAGGAGAATGAACCCAAAGGAATACACTTGTAATTGCCAGTGTTCTGCCCTCAGATTTAAGTTTCTCTGTAGTTTCTTTGTATTATTTGTATATGTAGTTGTTTCCTGTCAGTGTTTAGTTCTTGTGTAGTCTCTGTTGCCCCCTTGTGCTTGTTTCCTTTGCCCTTGGCTTCCTTCTAGTTAGTTCCACTCACACCTGATCCATATTCAGCTCATTAGCCCATCCTTTGTTCTGTCCCCCCATATATATACCACCTCTGCAGTCACTTAGTGCTGCTTTCTCATCTCTGGCTACCCACGTGAGTTTTTCCTGAGGTTTTCTGGATTTTTGGTTCTTTGTATTTTTCTTCTTAGGGTCTCTGCATCTGGGTCCTTAAAAAACTCCACTCAACTGTGACTGTAATATAACACAAATAAAAGTATTACAAATAGAAAGTATTCCATAAAAGTTTAAAAAACAATCCACTGGACTTGGTTTCCAAGTTTTGAAGACGTTTCGCTTCCCCTCCAGGAAGCTTTCTCAATTCAATTGTCAGGATCCACAGTGAGTTTGAGTCTTTATATAGACAAGGCTTTGTATTGCTTGGAAACATGCAAATTGAACCCGATAAGTGGGTCGTTTGGTTCTATTGTTAGCCTGTAATATCTGAAACCTGTCTATGATTCTGAAGGTCTGTGGTTAAAGTGGTTGTCATTAAAGGGGGGGGGGGGGATTGTCTCCTGTAATACCTGAAACCTGTCTATGAGGAGGTATTGTTTCCAAGCAATACAAGGCCTTGTCTATATAAAGACTCAAACTCACTGCAGATCCAAGTCCAGTGGAGTTTTTTTTTTTACTTTTACGGAATGACTATGACCTGGATGACGGAGAATCTTCATTAGCAAATATAAAGTATATTCTGAGATTAAAGTCCCTCTGATACTGCTTTAATTAAGTCTCTGAGTCTTTGAGTAGTCTCTGAGCAGATTTGCCATATTTGACATGGTGGACGCTCTGACCCATCTGCAGCATAGGCGGACCCCTGTCCAACGAGGCGTCTACGTGTATAATATCTATGACTGTTATCACGTCCCTGCTTCAACTGCTTTCAGCATAAAAACCTAATGAAACTTGCTGCTCCATGGGTTGTTGTAAGTACCGTAGTTTGGTTGCCCATCAGTGGAGATAGCATATGAGAGTATCATAACAGAATTATCTGAACAGAATGTATCTATCTCAATGAAATTGTCTTAATAATTTATTGTTTAAACCGTCTTAATTTTTTTGGGGCAGCCAACTTTAAGGACCTCAATCAGTCCCAGAAAGAGACAATTTAGAATTCATTACTGTTTTCTTTTCTTTTTTTCATATGAGGGCTGTCATAGTGTCTGTGCTGCTCAAAAGTTTATAAAGAAAGAGGGCAAGCTGGGCGATGGGAAAGAAGGAGAAGACGAAGAGAAAAAGACAGCAGAGAAAGTGTGGACTGCTGGAAGAAACACGGTGAACTGGTGAAAGAAAATAGAAATGGCGTGTTCAAAGATGACCCTGCTTATTTTGAGTGTGTTTTGCTCAAACTACTGCTGTAAAGTAGGATTCCCCACTATAACCTTAATCAAAAATAAATATCAATCCAAGCTCACGAATAAGCACCTTGATATATGCTTGAGAATGGCTTTGTCGCCATTCAAACCTAGGTTTATAGAACTAGCATGGCAGCTGGAAGCCCACTTCTCTCATTAAGCCATAAAAAAGGAAGAAAACAAAAAACAGTCAGTTCGGTTTTTTTTTGGTTTTTTTTATAAAATATGTGAATCAGGAAATGTCTATATACCAAACCGAAAGATTGTTGTTCTCTACTTCAAAAAAAAAAACTGTTTAGATTTTTAAATGGAAAAATATTCCTTTTTTTTATTTTTGTTTTATTTAAAAAGTCAATGTATAACATGGATGCATAAACATATGGTTATTTCAATGTTAAATGCTGTTTAAAATTATGGGTTATAATCAAAACTCATAATCAAAACTATCATTCAAGCTATAAAACCTTGAATGATATGATGTTCTAATAACATTCTGTCTGTTAATAAGCATTAAAACAAAAAAAAAAGCAACTTGACTGCTTTTATTAAAGTTTTAAATGAATTTATGTAGGCTTTTTACATGAATGATTAAAGTTGAGCAGTATTTCAAAGTATTTGACACCTCAGACCATTGCATGCAACTAAGTGCCTTTTGGACAAAGACTGTTCTTTTGCTATATTTCGAAATTATTTTTCAGTTGTAAATAGTGGTATTTCCTTTTGTGACCCAGATGTACAAAGATGCCCTGCAAGGTTCTGTATTATTTCTTTGCATTGTTGTTATTGTTAACAGCTTTAGGAAATGTTCTCATATAGTCATTTTCAGGCATGGCTTTGAAGATGATGTTATCAAACTATGAGTTTGTGTCCCATCCTTGATGCAGATGGTAATGGTATTTTATGTTGAATTTTGTACCATTAGGAAACACACAAACGTATCCTGAGTTTACCTATGCATTAATTTAATTATTTAACGTTGTACATTATTACTCTTAAGAATATTTTAGAGCACTCTGGTTTCTTTGTGCTCATCATTTCTCTCTGGGGCATTTTCTTTCTCCCTCTGAAAAAGTAAACAAACAACATTTTGTAAAAATAGAAAAAGTGGCTTCTTCTTGTATATGTAAAAAAACAACAATAACTGTAAGGTGTATGCCTCTAAGAATGAGCCTTGGAGGAAGAGAATAAAATGAGATGGCAGAGAAAGTCTCAGAGATGGATTTTCTCACCACTCAATTCATTGAACCCATAAGCAGCACAAGTCGAGCCATCAAAGGCTTGATAACTTGATCCACTTGACTGAAATTAACATTTTATTCAAAATAGCTGTCTTTTATTTTTCAGTTTATTCTCCAGCCCTTTGAGAATTAATTCAATTATTTAAATCATATGTGTAATTACTTAATCTTAGTTAATAAGTAATTGCATATGTGTGATTAATAACAGGCAATTCATTTTTTAATCATTGGGGAATAGATATAATATAATCAATCACTTTCTAATTGAAATGTTATTATAATACATTAGATGATGACTTAATTTCCATGTGTCATTTAACCCTGTAAAACCCAAATATAGAAAGACACTAAAAAATTTTTTTTAAACCACTTAGATGTTGTTGTAGGAGGCCTTTGAGGCTGAAAATGAAGTGTTTTCAAAAATTTTATGTTTTAGAAATTTTTTACAGAAATGTTGTAATATTGCAACATTGGGCCAAATGGGGAGCAGAATTTCCTGTATGTGTACTCATTGTCTGAACAACAATATAGGACTACGGATTAATTTGCAGGGTTTTGCTTTTATCCCAGAACAGTATAACATGAAAAATACCTTCAGTCATGTTGTTATGAACAGTTTGTTTTTATTTATTCCAGCAAAGAGAACTTTTTATTTACAATGATAGTCCCAAAAACAGTTCCTTTCCTCTGAAAAACAGAGGCGAACATCGCACTTGCAGCAATGGGTATTCGTATACCCTTTACTGCAATGTCTGCAGCGTCCTCTCTTGACCTTCATGGGGAAATGTCCATCTGATTTGAAAAGAGAAGAATCAATATTAATATTAATAATCAATTCATGCACGTGTCAAAAATGCATGCAGATATCGCAAAACATGGCAAATAGCAGAAATAGATTCTTACCAGGATGAGAGAGGATGCTAGCTGTGCCTGGAACTTTCTCATGTTTAGCATCTCCTTCTTTGGCATTGCGAGAGCCTGACAGTGCCGTTTGTAGAGGAGCCAGGCGTTGACCACGGCGAGGGTGATGGTGTGCCAGAAGATGTACATGTACCATCGGCGGGATTTCAGGGTGATCTTGTATTTTGCTGTAAATGAGTCCAACAAATCCACACCTCCCATGTATTTGTTGTAGGTAGCCACAATGTAAGATCTTTCAACGTCAATGTAGGTTTTGGTGGCTTTGTCCCAGCGCTGAATCTCCTGCACAGGTTCTGGTCCAGTGAAGGATGACACAAGTGTGACTGCCCTGTTGTCATACCATTTCACAGCGCAGATGTTGTGTGTCCCCTCCACTCTGTGGTCAAAGCTTCCTCTACCCTTCTTCTTCAAGCTCTTCTCATCTTCAAGGTTGCAGTTAGGGAGCCGCACCTGCCTGGCTGTACCCACATAATGAATTCCATGCTCAAGGAGCTTCACTACCAGTGGAACAGAGGTGAAGTAGTTGTCTGCATAGATCTTGTAGTTCTGACCCTTAGGAAGTGTGGAGGCAAGCTTCAATACAACATCACCTGACAATCCAAGTTCAGATTTGACGCGTTTTCCATTCTTGCTGCCCTGGTAAACATCGAAGTCAAGCATCATGCCAGAGATTCCAGCTCTCACCCATACTTTGAACCCCCATGGATGTGGCTTGCCTCGCATATACTGCTTGATGCTGCTGAACTTCCCCTTGAAAGGAATCATCATTTCATCCACAGAATTGTGCTCTTCTGGTACCACCTGCAGGCATTTCTCCCTGAATGATTCAAGCCATGGTCTGAGTTTCCAGAGTTTGTCCCTCTTTTCAATCTCTGACACTGTCAAATTGTTGACAAAATGTAATTTTGTCAACAGAGATTGGAATCTGTTGCGTGGCATCACATCAGCAATAGGGGGGTGCCGTGTATCTGTCTCCCAGTACATACGGCTTCCAGACATTTGTACCAAGCCCATCCTCAGGTACATGCCCAACATTTTCTGTATTTCCTTTGTATTAGTGTTAACATATCTTCCATCATTTTGAATGCTGTACTCATTTGTACTTGTAGCCAGAGCTTGAATCATGTCCTCTGACACAAACTTTTGGAAGTATTGGAGTGGTGTGTGGAGGAAGGTTACATCGTCTGTGACAGGTGGACCAGAAAAATCAGTATTGGGACTGATAAAATCCTTTTTTTGCCAGCGATATCTGTCACGGGGCATGATGCGTTCATTTTCTTGGGGCTCAATGTCCACATTGGCTGGGCAGTCAGACGGCTCTTGGTTTTCTTTGTCCACACAGGGATCATTGTCTGACTCCTCATCACTTGCATCAGTGTCATCAAGGGGTACGTCCACATCACTCTCTCCATCTTGGATGATTGCAATGATATCCTGCACACTGTACCGAGGATCTTTCCTGGCTGCTGGCATTCTGAAATGGAAAAGATAAAATTTAAACAAATGTATATATAAATAGTACACATACTTAGATTCTAGATAACCTGCAGGAAAAGACTGGGTGGTGGAGAGATTGATGTTAATTTGAAGTGTTTACACATTGCCCTGAAGTAACCCATTCACACATTTCACTGGTCACACAATACTGTGTGGCCGACCAATTCTAAACTCTGATTATCATCAAAATAGGAATCCAAGTAGCCTCCAACTTACAGCCACACCTTACATTCCTGAACATCAACCCCTGTTCCAGAGCAATGTAATGCAAAGGCCCCTCCAAGCATCCCCACACCTGCTTTGACTATGAATTGATTGGAACATTACCTTATCAATAGCCAAGACAAAGGGCAGACATGCACAACATGGCTGTTGTGTTGTAGACATGTTAGAAAGCCCTACCTTCTGTGATAAGGGAAAAATACTAAGTGTTGAAGGTGGTTAGAAATCCTTATAAGTAAATTAAAATGATTAGATATGGCAATATATCTTAGTATATTAGCTTCTAACACAATAATACATATAATTCAATATAAGGCAAAGGGCTAGACTGTGTAAATTATGTGTGGTTCAAAGTTATATTGGGAAAACTTCCTCTCAAGACATTCCTCTCAAAAACAGGGTTGTTTTGACTACCACATTCACCCAATGTTGTAATATTGCAACAATTACAAAACAAGCTCTAGATAAAGTGTAGGGCACATTTTCCACAATAACTACATATTTACATGTTGTAGACACTGTAATAAACACAGAAAAAAATATGCAAAGCTTTTTACTTACTTCAATTAGATAAATCCAGTCCAGTAAATCGAGGGGATGATGCTCAAGCAAAAATCTGGAGGTTGTGTGACTTCTTCACCTGAGGGTAGGCCTTGTATACAAATGTAGGACCCAATAGCATTGTGAGATGAAACAACATGACTCAATGAGTATGTTAATGCAGTTGAACCAAAAAAAAAAAAAAGGTTTATTTTGGGAGGACAAAAAATGTTGTAATTCGGCAACAGTGGGTCTTACAGGGTTAAGCTACCTAAAAAGTACATTTACCTTTTGGAAACTATATAATTTTGAGTCACACTGATTCAACGTCTATTTCGTGTAAATTTTTTAATAGTGAATAGTTTATTCCATATTTTTTTTCCCCCCATAACTGTATGTCCTTGTGAGTCTTTGACTCTACTGATGCTTACGGACCAAATACACATATAACTACAGTATGCCTTTATAGAATATAAGCTTATAAAACTTATATTATATAGAGGTATATTTATAGAGGTAAAGAGGAAAGAACAATCTGCAATAACAAAGGGAATTAATAATAGGAGTTATTATAAAGCTAAAATGGGAGTAAATGTTATTTATACAGAAAAATTATTGCTCAGAGACCAGTAAAACCACTTCTTAGATTGTACAGAAGTTTTATGAATAAAAGATATGTCTTATTCATTGCTCATAATAACTTTATATCATAGTTTCATGGTGCCCCAAAAATAAAACACTATAATTGAGATCATAAAAGTATAAAATTATCCTATATATTTAATTTAGAACAGAAAGAACTTTAGTTTTTATAAATGATATCACAATCATCATACAGTGTTATCAATTAATATAGTTAATTAATTCAAAATGCTAATTTCTCTAGGTTAATTATTCAGGTTATACACCATTGAATAATTATTCTTCTTTTTTATACAGCCCAAGAAAACTTCAGTGATTTTGCAATTGTCGTCTGGCATCTTATCATATCCGGTTTATCACTGCAAACTCGCTTTAAGTAGTTCTTACTCTTAATAACGTCAAACTTGCTAATGCATCCAATTAATGCTGGTTTAGAGATTTTTCACACAGTTAAGGATTATGTTGGATGTATTTTGATTCTAGAGGTCAAAGCTCTACATAATTATCCCTAATTTAACTGATATGAAAATTTTAGAATCTATTGTATGAGCTATATTCAAATAAATGATCTACCTCATTTAACAGATGCTTAATAGCAAAAAAAAAAGATACATAATACATTTAGGCACTAAGGGGCTGAAGCAGCTTTGAACCATAGCTGTAAACATATATGTAATGTCCAATCTTATCTTCGCAGATACCATATATTTAAAAAAAAAAAAAATTCATTAATTTATTTACTAAAAGAAACATTAAGTTGACCAATAATTTTATTCCTGGCTGCGTTGCGCCACAATAAAACAATGTTGTACAGTAATTAGGCCCCCTAAGGGTGTTTATACTCCAGGGCTTTTCCAGTTCTTTATATCTAGAGTGATTTGTCTCTACTTAAAATATCACGTCCTCTTACAATAAACAACTGTTAGATTGTTGGATTAATTGTACAAGTTATTCTACTTTAATCATATTATACTTATACATTCATATTTACACATTTGCATATTCCTGTATACTTGTATTAAACAAAGTGTTGAAATGTTTCACTTGCTGTCTTTCTAATGCTTGTTATTAGTGTGTGCAGATGGAGTGCTGGCTGCTCAAGGTCAGCAAGGAGAAAACACGGGGAAATGCACTCACTAACACCGGAGAAAGGAGTGAAAGCTCTTATCTCATGATATTGTATGATGTGATGCAGAACTTCTGGTTCCGACTGGCTTCAACCTTCCCCCTCCCCTTAGCAGTCGGAACCACATTGTAGCCAGGGCGTTTCCTTAATAAAAGCTTGGTAGAGCGGAGACTTTTTCAGAGTGGGTTGGAGGTTGTAACTGAATGCAGTTTCTGACCCCCTCTCCTTGCAAGTAAATTATACTAAATTCTCTGTGTCCTTCTTTGTACAGGTTACTGAATAAAATGTTTGGTGTTTAAACCTAACATAGATGATTTATTCCAAGTGTAGCAGGGAAATGATATAGTTGCAGAAGAGTGGATTATATCAACTATGGTATCAAAATAATAATGATGAGCTCAAAAAACTATTCCCGATTGCCCTAATACCTCGGTGACATATACAGCAGGTGGGTGTAAACTGTCACATGTAAACATTTGACACATCCATCATATCTTATTTCCTGCTGGATCTTTTGCATCAGGATCATTGACATTGGATCCCCTTTTCACAGACTGCCTCTTGAAAAGATTATCTTTAGTGTTTATTATCAATAAAAATATAATATCTATTCAGGTTGTTCGGTACCTTCCCATTCCTTCCATTCCCCTAACCTAATGACTTATACAGTGATGATGATTATAATATAATATAATATAATGTGCAATTTACTATTTGATACCCCGTGCAAAAACCTGTTTCTCTATATTTGACACCCAGTGTAATAATTATATATATAAATATAAATATCCATTTATAGAAATACCGTGTAATGATCCTACTGCAAAAAATAAAATAAAATGTGGACACACTGTATGTACTGTATATATCCCATTCACCTTTCTCTTCCTTTGGCACCTTCTTCTTCTTTGACTATTTGAGCTGATGAAACAAGTTTATTTCTCCACTGTGAGATCAATAAAGTCAATCAATCAATCAATCAATCAATTGATTACTTTTGTCCTGTGAAAAGGTCTCTCTGCTTCAAATAATATGACTGCCTAGAGAGATCAAACAAAGCAGAATTTATACAGTACCTAATCGTATCATACTATGAGTAGGAAATACTATATAATTTATGAATAAGTATATATGTCTAATGAATAGTATTATATGTGTTAGGATTATTTTTATTATATATGTTTGTGTTTGTTAAGCCTTAATAACACCTAATGTTAAAGCTAATGTTTTCCTTGATCTACAAACACTGTGTATTATCTGGTTGAAGCCGGTAAAGTTTCCTCATGTACAAACATGTGATGTGAGATTTAATGATGATGTGGCAGGGTGGGACACTGAAATATCCTGTCCTGGGGTGATGCTGAGAAACTAGTCTATGCATTTGTTACTTTTTCAATTCAATTCAGTTTATTTATATAGCGCCAAATTCACAACACATGTAATCTCAAGGCACTTTACAGTTCAACCAGATCATACAGTCAAATTGATACAAAGTTTTCTATCTAAGGAAAACCAGTTGATTGCATTGACTCAAATACAATCCCCCACACTAGGCATGCTTGTAGCGACAGTGGAGAGGAAAAACTCCCTTTTAACAGGAAGAAACCTCCAGCAGAACCAGGCTCAGTGTGAGCGGCCATCTGCCGAGGCCGACTGGGGTTCAAGGAGACAGAAGCAGAGATACAAAAAGCAGCTGTAAAAGGCGGCCCCGTACAGGAAACACACAGCCAGGCAGACGAGCTCCAAGGCAGCTCCCATGCCAGAGGACGAAGAGAGCACATCCACTCAGTCACGGTCAGAGAAACAGGACCACACTGGAAAACAGGTCGATCTCCAACATCTATAAACAAGGGTGTTGATAGAAGCAGCACAGCTGATGTTTCTTTCCAGGATGACGTCACAGCCAAACAGGAACAGACGAGGCAAAGCTACTCTGAGGAAAAGCAGAGAGAGCAGAAGGTTAGAGATTGAACTAACAGATTCTGCAGAATAGGAGAACAGAGAGAGAATGAAGCAGAATGATGAAATGGGCGTCCCTATGTCCTCCAAAAGTCTAAGCCTATAGCAGCATAACTATAGAGATAGCTCAGGATAACCTGAGCCACCCTAACTATAAGCTTTATCAAAAAGGAAAGTTTTAAGCCTAGCCTTAAAAGTAGACAGGGTGTCTGCCTCACGGACTAAAACTGGTAGTTGGTTCCACAGGAGAGGAGCCTGATAACTAAAAGATCTGCCTCCCAGTCTACTTTTAGAAATTCTAGGAACCACTAGTAAACCTGCAGATTTAGAGCGAAGTGCTCTGTTAGGAACATAAGGAACAATCAGATCTCTGATATAAGATGGAGCTTGGCCATTTAAGGCTTTATATGTGAGAAGGAGGATTTTAAATTCTATTCTTGATTTAACAGGAAGCCAATGAAGAGAAGCCAGGATAGGCGAGATATGATCTCTCTTTTTAGTTTTCATTAGAACTCTGGCTGCAGCATTTTGGATCAGCTGAAGGCTTTTAACTACAGTTTGTGGACTTCCTGATAGTAAAGAATTACAATAGTCCAGCCTTGAAGTAACAAATGCATGGACTAGTTTCTCAGCATCACCCCTGGACAGGATATTTCAAATTTTTGCAATGTTCCTCAGATGAAAGAAGGAAATTCTAGAAACCTCTTTGATATGGGATTTAAATGACAGGTCCTGATCAAAAATAACACCAAGATTTTTTACTTTATTATCTGAAATCAGTTTAATCCCATCCAAATGAAGTGACTGGCTAATCAGTTTCTTTTTCAGAGACTCTGGTCCAAAGACTATAACTTCTGTTTTGTCTGCATTCAGAAGCAGAAAGTTAAGAGTCATCCAGGTTTTTATGTCTTCAAGACATGCCTGTAATCTATGTAATGGGTTAGCTTCATCTGGATTTATAGACAGATATAGCTGGGTATCATCAGCATAACAGTGGAAATTAATCCCATGCTGTCTGATAATTCTACCAATTGGGAGCATGTATAAAGTAAAGAGAATTGGTCCTAGCACTGATCCCTGTGGTACTCCACAGGTAACCTTTGAGCGTGTTGAAGATCTATCATTAACATGAACAAACTGAATTCGATCAGATAGATAAGATTTAAACCAGTCTAGTGCTGTTCCTTTAATTCCACAAAATATTCAAGTCTTTCTAAAAGAATATTATGGTCAACTGTATCAACTGCAGCACTAAGATCCAACAGGACGAGCACAGATACAAGTCCATTATCTGAGGCCATGAGGATATCATTAGTGACTTTCACCAGAGCTGTTTCAGTGCTATGATGAGCTCTAAAGCCAGACTGAAACTCTTCAAAAAGTTCATTATGGTGGAAGTGATCGCAAACTTGT